AGCTATGGGAAAGATAAAAAGTGTGGAAAATAGGTGCCACATGAATTGAATGAAAGACAGATGGAAAACCGAAAAAAAACTTGATGAAATTTTGCTTCAAAGACACGAAAGAAAATCGGTTTTGCATCGGATTGTTACTGGCGATGAAAAATGGATTTATTTTAATAATCCTAAACGGAAAAAATCATGGGTTAATCCGGGGCAACCATCAACATCGACTGCAAAACCAGATCGATTCGGCAAGAAGACAATGCTGTGTGTTTGGTGGGACCAGAAAGGTGTGATGTACCACGAGCTCCTAAAACCTGGTGAAACCGTCAATGCTGGTCGCTATGAACAACAAATGATAAATTTGAACCATGCATTGCTCGAGAAACGACCAGAATGGGCCAGAAGACACGGCAAGGTAATTCTGCTCCATGACAAACGCTCATTTCATACCGGTACACTTGGTATATGAAAGATATTTGTATGGTAAATCATTCTCATTAGCGGCGTTAATGAGCAAAACCGTCTCAATCAGATAGTGTGAATATGCTATTAGATTATATAGTGTATTTACGTTCTTTAGTATAAATTTTAAAAAAGTGAATTTATAATTAATTGTATATTTACATATATTCTCTCAATTTTCTACTATTATTAAAACTATTGTTTAAATACTAAATCTTTGCACATTTGTTGTTGAAATGCATCAAATTAGTGAGTAAATTTGTTCGTATAGCTTCATGATTTTTTCCCAGTTTGATGCATGACTAAATTTCCATTTCCCAGCGCGTGCTTAAGTATAGTTCGGAGAGTGTGAAATCATGTAAAATTTTCTCGCACTGAAGGACACTGCTGTGGTGCTAAAATGAAAAGTCTGTAAAGATACAAAATCGTTAAAGTCAAACCAAATATATACCAAAGTGCTGCTGATTATGCACTACAAACAAACACACTTGATTTATGTTGGCAGCAACAATTGCAATTTAGTTCTGGAGCACCAAAATCAACAGTACTTGTGTCTTTCACAGCAGTGCCTTCCATGGAAAGCAGAGTAGTAAAAATTACTGTTGAAAGTTGTTAGAGTGCAGTTTTGCTGTTGTGTCAGGAAGAAGGATACTAGTTCTGCGCTCAGCTACACCAACAGAGTCATCATTCAACCCGAAGCGTATTAAAGTTGCTGCACTTTGGTCTACTATGCCACATATGAGTTCCGTTTAGCAGCTGATGCTTGGCTTCCTACTCCAATGGGTGTTCAGTTAAGTCATTTGCGGTACGCATGACATTATGCTAACATATAAAATTTTCTTTTCATATTTAGAAAATAAGCAAGTTTCTACAGAAATATAAACGAAATGAAAAAATTAATTTGTCATTGTCATAATGTACAGTGTTTTGTTAATATAATCAAAAATTATATTTTTATATAAAATAACCAATTGTAAATAGTCAAGTTCTGCAAATAAATGCAATGAGTTCTTAATTACAAAAAAAAAAAACTTTAAACAGTCCCTATCCATATTGCTCCGTTCTAGAATTATACATTCACACTGCCTCATTTAGGCAATTGCTCATTTATATTAATGACTGAACATTCACATTATAATGAGCTCATTTATGCAGCTGACGGAATTTTTACAAATTTTTATAAACTTCACTTAATAACATATCACACATCATTTATAGACATTTTATATATCAATTAGATATTCCATTAATAAGAATAAAGATTTTATTATATGTTTACTTTTTGTTGTTTATATCTCATTTCTTCAAACTACTATCTGGCAATTATAATATTAATTCAGCCTTTGGAAAAATGTTTTCAGAGTCCACAATCGAAAATGATATTATTGAAATTCCACCACCTAGCCATAACGAAGTGCGTGTTGTTATACAGCGACTAAAGAACGGCAAAGCGACAGGTTCAGATGGTGTACCTGTGGAATTGTTCAAGGCCGGCGGCGATAGGCTGATAGGGTGGTTGGAATCTTAGTACCCTTTATCCTGTTTATGACAAGACGATTTGCGCTAACTATAGCGGGATTAGCTTAATACCTGTCGCGTACAAGGTCCCTTCAACTGTACTATGTAGGGTTAAAGCCACATGCCACTGCACTGATTAGATCTTATCAGTGTGGTTTTTGACTTGGTCGCTTTACCATTGACCAAATGTCCACACTTTGACAAATCCTGAAAAAAACCCATGAGCATAACGTCGACATTCCACTACCTTTTTGTTGATTAAAAAGCAGCATTTGATAGCTTCATAAGGTATACCGTTTGCGCCGCAATGTCTAGGGTCGGTATCCCTGCAAAGTAACTTTGAAGAATGACGGTAGACAATTTCCGTAGTTACAAGGCATGATCGAGCCTCTCCGAATGTTTACATATCATGCGAGGCTTCAGACAAGGTGTTCCCTTGTCATATAATCACATCAATTTCGTCATGGAAGTGATCATGCGCAGGGCAGGTGTTCATCGTAATGGTACAATATTTTACAAATGTGTCCAGCACCTTGCCTACGCAGACGACATTGACATCATTGGGGGTAGCAATCGGGTTGTTACATCTGCCTTTGCTGTCGTCTGCAGAGACATGCTACGTCAGGATAAAACTCGGTAACCGATTATTATAGCCACATAAGTAAGTAAGTTACTCATAAGCGTCATTAGAATCCAAAGGTGTTAACAGTCAATAATATCTCGTCACTGGTGACAATTATAAGTTCGAAGGTGTGGTGAACTTTTTTTATTTGGGAACCAGCTTAAATACCAAAAATGACGCCAAAATAGAGATTCAACGAAGAATCACTCTTGTCGACATATGTTATTTCGGGCTAAGTAAGCAATTGAGAAATAAAACCCTTTCTCGGAAACAAAAATCACGCTAAACTAATCTCTCATCATACCTGCTTTGCTGTATGGTACCGAAGCGTGGACAATTACCAACAGTGATGAGAAGGCGTTAGGAGCATTCGAGAGAAAAGTTCTTCGGAAGATTTATGGTCCCTTACGCATTGCCCACGAGTGTCGAATTAGATAGAATGATGAGCTGTATGAACTATACCGCGACATTGACATAGTTAAGCGCAAAAAAATTAAGAGGTTTCGCTGGCTTGGCCATGTCATGTGAATGGAAGAAAGAAAGGTAATTGATTCGGTACCCAAAGGTGGAAAATGCAGTAGAGGATGCCCGCATTTTCAATGGAAAGATCAGGTGACCAACGATTTAGGGGCTACAGCAAGCAACTAATCGGGCTGACTGGCGAAGGCTACTCGGCGGCCAAGGACGACTCACGTCTGTGATAGCCAACTAAGTAAGTACTAAGTTACCACCGAGATTAGATAAGAGAAAAATTCTCCATTTCTAATTTAAAGCTAGAAATGGATATAAATAACATATCATAGCATATAATACATGCTCTTTAGTTATTTATTTAGTCATATATTTCAGTTATTATTATTATAAATTATAGGTTTGCCATTTCTTATCTGTTATGTTTGCTTTTTTTTTTGTCGAAAAATACTTCCAGTGACCAGTCATCACTGTTATCCGGACATCGCTAGTGCCACTGTGTTTCCGATACGCTTGGTGAGCTGGCGTTATCCAGTACTAAGGTAGATATGAGGGTGACGGAGCTCAAATTAACCAATTGGGTGACTGGAGGTCTCATCATCAACGCAAATGAATATAGTAGACGAGATTTATTTTTATTTTTTAAATTAATAGATATTAACCAAATTTAAATTACAAAATTGCCAATATTTTTATGCTGATGTACTTCATCCCCTGAGCTTAATACACTTTAATTAGAGTTTAAAAAGAGAGTGAAAGAGTCACTTTCACTATCGCTCGATGATTCTATTAAAATCTAAAAAATTATTACTATTATTTGCTACAGAGTTTAAGTTAAGTTTTAAAGGAAATAATGAACAATAACTTACGTTTAATAATTCGTAAATTTCAGCAGTTTTCGTATTTTTTTATATTTTTTATTTTTTGTATTTAAAATTTTTAAAATTATTCTTTTAGCGCCAAAATTATTCACACTAATCAAAACAAAATTTTGTAAATAAACACAGCTGACAAGATTGAGATGCCTTGTCAATTACTTTCACATGTGATCCGTATCGTTTCAACAAAAAAAAAAAACAACTAAAATTCAGCTTATATAAGTAAAATATAAAATACGTCTGATAATTGAAATAAATTCTTAAAAATTAATACAACATTTGCTGTCTAAATGATGACATTGTTGTGCCATTTCTATCTGAAGACGAGTTAACTGCTATATCCAATAACCTTGATGCGCCTATTAATAAAATTGTTAACAATGAACATTCACTTCACCACAAAAACAGCTTGTAATTGGCTACTTTAGTAATCAATTATTATATTGTATGGTAGATTATCTTCTTCTTCATTGCATTACGTTCCCAGGGAACATTCTATGTGTCATCGGATAAACGTTTTCCCGCTTTTCCTTTGTGTATAAATGCGAACATAACAGTATTAAATCCCAAATAAATGCAACAATCCATTTGGTTTTTCCACTATGATTATATTTTCCATAAATATAGGACTAAATTGGTATAGGAAATAGTCTGACCAATTCTATCTCATGGACGAAGTTAAAATAGGGAGAAAATGTAAGATTCTATTGAAACGTTAAGTAATTGCATTGCATTTGTTTGTGTGCGAAGCATTTAGTGATCAGATTGAACTTGTATTGTTTGTGTTTTTTAACTGTCTTGCTTTAAAACAGTTCTATAAGATAGAACAAGTCAAGTGATTGCTTTGGCACAATTAGTCCAATTTTTGTATTTAACCTGATTTTTACTTTAAGTAACTCGTAGAATAAACCTGATATATCTACTATCTCTCTACAATCAAATTTTATTGACATATTTCTGTATGGGTTTTAAAATAAAAAGTGTTTTATAAAAAATTTACTTTTGAAATTAATTAATCCTCCAATATACAACATATTTCCCAATCGTATATTCTTTGTTTCAGCGTATATTAGAGTAACAAACACGTTTTACAACACTGCCAAATATACACTTGTCAATTGTGAAATTTAACTAATCCCCCTTATAAATCTATCAAACTCAATTCATAAATATGGACAAAGACAAGAAAAAAGCTGGCAAAAATTTGGAACACATGAATCTCACGAATGCTCAAAATCGAGCAGTGGTGGTTAAAGTTCCAAAATATGTAGCACAGAAATGGGAGTCAGCGCCATCCGATATAAATGCTGGGAAACTCACGGTAATAAAAACGCCTGGACAAAAACCAATATTCGAGTTGTCACTACCACCTGAAGTGGTAGAACTGAAACCGGAAGGAAAAATACCAACTGAATATACACTTCAGGTATCAAATGTAAACGACCAAACATATGGCGTTTTTTCGACCGAAGCAAGTGAACAGTTATCAAGTGGATCTGAAAAAATATCTATGGAGGGGTGCATAGTAAAAAAAATAGATTGTAAACCACAAATTAACGATTCTTATGTAGCATTTAAACGGGAGGCAGTACAAAAGGCATCTGAATCACGTCGAACAGTTTACCTTTTAGATAAAGTTGTGCCACAGTACAAGCCCGTTACGGATCATGCCCACAACGTCAGTAATTTTATATAAACATGATTATTAGAAAATACTGATCATTTATTAAAATATTTTTATTACAGATTGAGTACCGCAATCGTAAGAAAGCTGAAGGTAAAAAGGCACGTGACGATAAAAATTTTGTAATGGGTTTACTCTTCAATGCATTCGAAAAGCATCAATACTATCACATTAAGGACTTAGTGAAGATCACGAAGCAACCTATAGCATATTTAAAAGAAATACTTAAGGAAATTTGTAATTATAACATGAAAAATCCACATAAGAAGATGTGGGAACTTAAGAAAGGGTATTGTCATTACAAGTCCGATGAGAAAGAGAAAGATGAACAGTCTAACGCGGACAGTGAATCAGAATAGCACTAATTTTTTTTTTTGACTAAGCTAACAGAACTGTGATTAAATTTAATCAGCCATTTTTTTATTGTTGTAATCTAAAGATCTTGAAAATTTAATCTAGTTAAGCTTAGATTGATAATAAAATATTTAAAAGCAAAGAAAACATTTCATTACTATGTCATACTTGTTTTTCTCCATTTTTACAGCCACCTTAAATCGCCCAATAAAAAAATATCACTAATTATTATTTAATTACAAATAGTTTTATTTTTTAAATTTCTTTTTGTAGCACTATTTCTGATATCACTATTTCTGATATGAGTATGCAACTCATGTGCAAAATTTTCCGAATACCCTATGTAGGGTGCAGAACTCTATTTGCTCTGCAACTCTAGTTCGTGTTCAATAAAGTGGAACATACTTTCAGTTTACTTTGATTATATATTCCATGATAATATTTAAACAGAAACTTAATGAAGACTTTATCATATCGGGTTTTTTAAGATGTTTTAAGCAGATCTACACAGCTGTTTTGAGGGTTTGTTAGTTACAAGAAGAGTCCTGAAATGATGTTTTTATTTTTGTTATGTTCTGCGTAAAGTGTTAATATAAAAGCTGTTTTCATCCACCATGCCGTCATAAAAGTTTATAGTCTTAACCATTTATTTTGCAAAAACCAAATTTTTTATATAAGTAGGTGAATATAATTGTCTTATATTGCACATGTACATGTTAATATAAATTTAATCATCTAATCAGGGTCATAATTGGAGCGTCATGCATCATCATCATTATAGATAATTTCTTAAAACAAATTTAAAAAGTAACTCCACATTCATTTTCATTAGAGTTACTCCATAGTATGGAGTCCATACCCAATAATAATAGTTCGCAGCGTATTCAATTAGTAACCGATTCTCGTTTTTTTGAACGTCGATGGATGGATGCATTATAATCTGTGCACATATTTGACTTCAGGAGACCTCGTTACCTATCTTAGTTTAATATTCATATCTCTATTGTGGAAACATAGTTTTATACTATGTACTTATATACATGATCTAAGCTTACCCTCTGGTATGGATTTGTTTATTAAACTTCTTTTGCTTAATGATACAGTGTTTTACTAGATTAGTTCAAATATTACAAATTTATTTCTCTTGAAACAAATATATGAAAATAAAACATTAGTCTATGAAATAAATATCCTCTTAATATATATTATTTTGGCACGAATTTGCAGTTTAACTCATAATATTTAGACATCAGAGCGTTTTTAGTCTCTCTAATGATTACTTCACTCACATCTGCCGCATTGCTACTATTTTTTGGCTTGAGCTAATACTGGTAATCTAAAATTGTACAATTAGTAACTAAATATAATAATATTGCATTTTAAGTATAATGTGATTATTACCTGACATTATTATCAATTATTGGAGATTTATTGATCGCATTTCGCATTTCATTCTCTTGTCTTGATATATTGATTGCAGTACTTTTCATCATATCGGTCAAACCTCTTTGGATTTAAATAAATTGAATATACTTAACAGTTTAATATTATATGCGATTGAAAATATACCCACATTTGCGCAAAAGCCTGCTAGAAAATATTCATTGATAACAATTGGTAACACAGTCAACGCTGTACTCTAGGAGTCCTGTAATTTTCTTATAGGAAGGTCCAATATCCATCATTCATATTAGAAAGAGCACAATAGGAATTTCTTTAAAAGAATGCCATGCGCCTTCTTGACGACAATGTATTAGTAAGCACGCTGCTGATTTAGTTCAAATTGAATAATGTATTTAGTGCAGTTCATGAATCTGAAATTTATACTCACATATTATATACTGTTAACATAAATACCGATAACATATTTCTTTTAAACAATTCTTATATGAAAATAAAATAATTCTGTAAAGCTCAACGATATATTGCAGAAGAAATCAATAGCACATATTCTTAAAAAAGAAACCTTCAATACATCATTTAAAGTAATTCCAAAAGTATGTCTGTAAGTTGATCAATTAACACATTTATCACACAATTTAAACAGTTCTTAAAGGTTGGTGTTTAATATACTTATCTTTCTCGGTCGAGAATTATTTGGGTTAAATTAATCCGAACTCCCTTTCCATACGCTGTAATATGCGACCGCACATAACTTTATAATCGTCCATTATAATCGTATAATACCTATTGGATTAAATTTGGCTTAACGAAGAAGTTGTAGGAAGAGCACATTAAGGTTCGTTCGATTTCCTATATTAAGCCAAGGGATGCCAAAGCAATTACCGCAGATTTTTTGCTTATATTGGCCCATTTTTAAAACATAACCATCACTCATAGCCAACATCAATTATTCGATCAAGAATTAGTCCACACACAGAACACACAATCTCTCTAGTACGGTCACGGTTAACAAGTGAAACATCTTTATGATATTTACAATATATTTCGCTGCTGATATTGTTTAGTGAATAAATAATAAAATTTTAGAACACACATGAACATGAGTCTTCCATTATAGTAGCATGTATTACATTTTTCAAGTATTTCATTATGACATAGATGGGTTTAGAAATATTTTCAATATGAAATCGAAAAAAGTTTATTTTAGGTTTTCGCACAAGACGAGCTGCAATAGCTGAGCGTTATGGTTTGAATACTTGTGTTTCTTAAGGTTTTCGTAGAAGATGAGCTGCAGTAGGTGGAGGTTATGGTTTGAATATTTGGATAACTCAATTTTTTCGCAAAACGAGCAGCAGTTGCATCTACTCTACAGGAAGAAAAATGCACTCCTTGCCTTCGATATTGTGTTGAGAATATTTTGGTAACCGGACATATTAAGAAACTGCAATGGATCTTGTTAAAATTCTCGATATACTAACACGTGGAAGTTCGTAGACTGCTGTATACTTTAGAAAACTGCTAATAGTATCTACGTTATTCAGTAGAGGTCAGTTATCATTAAGAATAAATTGATATGGCATTTAGAGATGTTGATATCCAGACAATGTCGTTGTCAGAATTCTTGTTATATTATTTAATATGTTAATATGTGTTGTATATTGCAATGCAAATATTGTATTTGTAACAAAATATCGTGTCCATGTGTCTGTGTATCTGTAAGCAAGATAATATCTGTCTTTTGAGTGTCCAAATAACCCATATCAGTCGCAATAATGATTCACAAAGTCAGTGGCCAATATCTTTTTTCTTAATAGCTGGTTTAATTTAACATCGAAACACTTCTACTCGTAGATAAACCGTTATGCACAATGGTTTTCGGCTTCGGCAAAGTTTGTAACTCTGATTTTTAAAGCTTGATATTTATTATATACCTATAATATTTTGATGATGTTTGCTTTATTACTCAATGTAATGTTACACTGTTTTAATATACTCGATATGTTGCAAACCTCGTTTGTATACAACTGCAGTCAAATTTGGGTTTGTTGAAGATATACGTCTTAATACTTGAGTGATAGACTCCTTTTAATACTTATTCTATTAAACCTACACATTTTTTAATCTGATTAATTAGATTTGTGGAGTAATAACAATTTTAAGTTGAAAAATGTCAGCAGATATTTAAAGATGAATTGTTTTAGTATTGATAGACCTTGTACACTATTTTTGTTTAAGATGGGCTTTCTTATTCAAGCTGGATTATAGTGTCCTTGATTGGCTTTCTTCCTTTGTACATTACCGGATATCTTTTCGGCTTGAATATCGATGGCTTCTTCACAGCAGATTCATTAATTCTTTTTACCTCTTTTGATATTTTTGATCTTAATTCTTCTTGCTTATTTTGACTGGCTAAAGGCACAACGACTTCTTAATCGTTAGAATGAAACACATTTTTTTTTTTAATTTAAATTTAAATTCAAAATTTAATTATTAAATATTTCTTTACCTTTGGCATTATCTTTCTGTATTTCTTGACTTTCCTTTCCGCTACACTTATTTTTTTCGTTATTACCGACTATGATAGGAGAATTAACTGGAACCATAACTCTCCTTGCAGCTTCTAACGACTTATCTCTGCGATACATATACGGGTATAGCTTATTTTTCATAGTTGACGGTTTATTGACATATTTATAGCATTTCAAATAGATTACTTGGTTGATATTTGCAGATTCCTCCATACTTTCAGAGATTAGACGAGAGTACTGAAATCTAAAACATAATGATTCAGACTGGAATCATTTAAGAATAAACGCTAAAAAAAAAAAATTAAGACATCGTTGAGTGTGTTACTAGCCTATCAGCCACATTCACTAATTTAAAGTGCATATGTAATATATAAAAAATTTGGTCTTCGAGCGATACGTTAAAATTTCATTATATTTTACCTAGTAATTATTGAGAAACAGATATTTAGTTGGCGGTACTTTTGGTATTTCAAAACAACGATCTATTAGCATTTATTTCATTACTTATTAAAAAAAATAATTCAATATCATAATAAGCTTCTAAAGCTTTTTTTAAATATTTTTAATTTTATATCAATTATTTTATTATTTTCAATAATCCTGTTTATTAAAAATGATATAATTAAAGTATCTCAACAAAAAAATTATTTAATAGTTCCCTTTTCTCTATTAACAAAATTAGGAGCAGCCCCTTTCCATTTTTGTTTTTCTTACGTATCAGAAAAATTATCCTGAATAAATTTAATTACTCTAGAAATTATTAAAATATTTTATTGCTTTTTTTTAATGGGAAGAAATAAAAGGCAATCCCAAAAATGGTTTCAAAAGTGTTAGGAGAATCGTGCTTTATTGAAATAAACTATTTTCAGTGATTTGCCGAATTTAAATGTGACCCCTCAGACACCTATAATGCTGGACGTCGAATTCACTACTTAAAAGACAATACAAAGGCATTAATAGAAAAATTGATATTGGTTTATTGCTTCAGCGGCAAGAATGGTAATACTACATATTTGGTCACAGCTTGAACAGAGAAACAGAAACAGAAAAAAAGGAAACTATTTTAAATTATTTCTATTCATGTCCATCTCTTTAGACCCGGAGTGCAGTTAGCTTAGTTAATCCGGTCTTTAATAATTTTGCTAGCAAAAGTTTCTAAATCAAACAAACGATTAGTTGGTAATAAAGATATTAAAGAGCAACTACTTAAACCAAATTGGTTTCCTTGACAAAGAAATAAAAGAAAAGCCTCCTTTAATAAAGATAGTGAATCTTGTTATAAGTCATTAGTTAGGATATAAAACTCAGATTTAGTCATAAGCACTTGATATCTGCTTACTTATTTCTTAAAATTAATGGCTACTATGTCTTCCATATCTGCTCTTAAGCCCTAATAAACAGTATTATCTTTAATAGCTATTACCGAAACGACATGTTTTCACGTCACACCCCAACACACAATCTAAAAGTGTGTCCGAAGTATAATATTACAATGAAAAAAAGGCCTTTGTGATGATGACCTGTTCTTAAATGTGATTGATCATGTAGGTATGACCATGACATCATAGTTTTGGATTATAATAGTGAACTCCAAAATTCCTGATAAAAAGCCTGGTATTAATGTCCGAATCCTTCTTTTTGGTAAAAAACGATTCGGTACTCGTAGTATCGAGCGAAAATTTATTGATTACATTATTTCAATAATGGTTTTATATAAGGATATATATGTTAACATTATTAGGAAGGTAGTTAAGCAGTTCTAGTATCACGCAAACATTTTATATTATATATTTTATATTTATATTTTATATCAAATTAAAGTCTTCAAAGCTAGCTAGTGATGGTACGCAGTCGATAATATGTGTAAAAGATGTGTGTATCATTTGCGAATTTTAAGAAATAGTTCGCTTCAACATTAGCGACAAAGTTCAGATCGTAAAAACTACTAACTCCAAAAACTTTTGTTCGACTTTTTGAGAGAGCTGCATACAAACGGGATATGCGATAGGGACAGGATTTCTTTAATACCCGATGCTTTAGATTCTGCAATTGTTACCGTTACCAAACAATGCGCTGTTAAAATGTGAAACTATTGCTTATAATTTCACATGTAGTATTCATAATTATATCTTATCTATGGTTTACGTTCATTAATTTTTCTAATAGCTTTTATAGCAGTCTTAACTAACTATAGTAAAATTTTTAGTGTATTTTATTTTTGAATAATCTTTTTAAAAAAAGAATCTTAGCATATAGCAATATTTATTATATGTGTCCCGTAACAAGTCGAGATTAAAAATTAAAATCTTATTTTAAAAATACTATACAGTCAAACTTTCATAAATCAAAGTTAAATTTTGCAAAGAAAAGGTTCGACTTATGGACACTTCGAGTTAGAGAATATTTTTTTTTGTTTTTGAAAGAAACTAAAATCATGTTTTAAGATATTTATTTATTTGCAATAAAATAAAGCACAGAAGTTATAGTAAAGTAAAATATTCAGAAATTAGGGTTTCGGACTTTGATCCCTCATTATCACCCTCATCACTTTCCGTTGCACTTAGAATAGGATCCAGTAATTTAGAGCTATAGTAGAAAAGCTATCTATCTGTAGAAAAGCTTGATGTACAAATTTCATTGTCAAGTTCAATATAATCCTTAAGAATAGCATTAGAAGTTATTTCATTTACTTTAAACCACGCTGCCAGGGACTAACATTTGCACAAAGAAGCAACATAAGAAAAAGAAAAAATTAAACATTTGGTTTGGAAAAAGGGACTTCGCCTAACAGCAAAATGCATTTATACATAAAACAAAAATTCGACTTATTGAATGCACATTCCAACATATTCCTATCGGTACGGAACAAAATTTTTGTTCCAGCTATAGAGAATTTCGAGTTATAGAAGTTCGAGTTATGGAAGCAGAATTGTATGTAATTTGCTCTCTAAAACCTTAGTGCACTGTTTTTGGTTCGAGTTATAGAAAATTCGAGTTATAGAAGTTTGACTGTAAATCCTTTTGAAATGTAAAGGTTTTAAGAAACCTCTACATAGGAACAAATTCATCTCATTAGTTCCTACTGCACTTTTCCCATATTTGTGTTTTCAAATACATATTTATTTCGTGCGAAAAAAAATTTTAAAATGCTGGTAGTCATCTTTCAGTCCATAGCGTAATAATAAAAAAAGACATTTGAAAATTAGCTCCCTCCCGGACATTGTGTATATAATAATGGCGAATACATTTCGAATGCAGTGTAAACACATGCATTTCAGCGCTACATGCATTTCAGCTCGTATTTCGCAAATAAAACATTTTGTGCAACATTGCGAAATGCTTTCAAATTCCCTGTGAGCCTGCAGCATTTTGGATACGGAAATGGAAAAACGAAATGAGTCCCAACAAAAGTATCACTCTTCCATTGGCATTTCAACTGGCGTTCTGTTTATTTGTGATGCTGTTGCTTGTTATCGAATTGATGGCAACCGATTCATTGCGAGATGATGGCAACAAGACTGGGTTGAACGCTTTTTTGTGGTCGTATGATTATTGTGCACATAAATGCTTGCCACACCGTAAAATGGTCTATTATGGCATGATAAGCCACGTTGAGCTCCTAAAATTCAATAGATTCAAGCTGAACAGGAAATTGAATAGTTAATTTGTTGCGAACTGCAGCAAATGTTTGAAAATGCCTCTGCACTGCTGATGAATGCCAAATTAGGATTGGTAACGCTTGAGTTGAGCTAACAAGATTAAACTACTGATAAAAATAAATCGCTTCGCTAATGTTACATCAAAAGTGTATTTTTCAAATTTTATTAAAAGTATTTAGTTAAATTATATATGTCTGACTTATAGCATAACAAATCTCATTTCGAATAACACAAATAGAAGTTCTATATAAGCCGTGATGTGAGAAAGCTACCCACATCAATTGAATTACAATTTTTGTTTTTTAACATTACAATTTTAGAGGTAATGTATTAGACTTCCTCCACATATTCGAATTTAATTAGTTTGAGCATGTCAACGCAAAAAGGAAACTAACATGGCAATTATGTCTATCACGATACTACAGCACCTCTATACTTACTGCCCAATAACACACAGAATATTATTTAAGAGTAAATTAAAAAGTATTTTGCTGAAAATTTCTTTATTTCTAACTTCTGGAAGGCTTTAAAGTTCCATTAGAATGTTGGAAGCCAAAATTTTAATATATGTTCATCCATTGCATCTTTCCACAAAATCACTAGTAATTCACTAGTAATTAAGGTGCTATGCTCCAATGGAAGGAACTAATGATGATGATGATGATTAGTATTTCACTAATAACTTCCAACCTAGGGATAGCTCTATAATTTTTTCTTTTAGAATAATTTTACAGCCAATGAACATTTTAAGGTGATCTGTTTCTTTCAACAATATTCATATCTTTAATTCAGGGAATTATATTTGTAAAAAAAAATTTAATAAAAATAATATCTATACCAGTATTCGTCAATGAGTTTGGTCAGAAAGTAGTTGTTGTTGGGATCTACTTGTGAAGTAGCTTTGGGAGGTGTCGAACGGCACTTGGTTCGATTGGCTCCGGGACGTATATCCGCCAGCTCTTTCTTTTGCTTTCGTTGTAGTCAAAAGTCGTTTCTTTTGGGCAATGAGTTTAGTCAGAAAGAAGTTGTTGTTGTTGTTGTAACCCGTTGTAACCAGTTGTAACCCGCTTGTAAAATGTTTTTGGGAGGTGTCGAACGGCACTTGGTCGTCGTTGGCGACGAATAGTGTAGATCCGGCCGTTCTTGGAAGTTGTTTCTTTTGCTTTGGTTGTAGTCGAAAGTATTATCTATATCTCTCGCTTCTCTAAAAATGTCATATCGATCAAAATAATAAGATATTTACATAAGAAAATTTACGATAAAAACTTTGCTAAATTTATCTTCAACGCAATTAATTAAAAATTTAGAAAATCAACTTTGATTCTATATTATTTCCGAAACTTTATGAACAAAAACATTTTATATATCAATTTATAGAATATTTAATCAGTTAAAATAAAAACGCATGTTTTTTTTCGAAAATTGTATTTTATGGTTTAATATAATTCTATTTAAGTTCAACACTCCGAGTCCATCGATCTTTCAATATTTGGAAACCTCATTTTCCCATTCAAATTTATCATTTGATGCAAATCTTTTTCGCTGGAGTCATCTTTTCAGGTTTGGAAACGGGTAATAGTCACTGGGAGCCAAATATGTAAAATACGTGGGTGAAGAAGCAATACGTACAGTAATTCATTTAATTTTGCCATGATTTTCATTGACATATGACAAATGTGTTCGTTTTTTCTTGATTTCCTCACTCAATTGATCCAATAATATACAACATCAATCTGGTGTTATTGTTTTTCCTTTTTCCAAATAGTTAATGAAAACTGTTCCACTTGAATCCCAAAATACGGAAGCCAAAACTTTTCCCACCGATTATTAAGTTCGTGGTCGTTTATGAGCACTACTCCCAGGCTCTACCTATTCTCTGGCTTGTTATTTTCACTTAGTTGTAAAGTAATAGGTCAATGTTTTATTAATTCTCACTAATCGACGGTCACAGTCAGCTAGATGGTGCATAAACATTTCCATACAATGTTTTGAATGATGAAGTCGTTGTCATTTTTGGTCAATTATAAGCAAACGCAGCACCCATCTTCCCGAAAGCTTTTTCATACCCAAATATTCATGTAAAATATTCGATACAAGTTTATATAATATATTTGTCATCTCTGCTATTTTACACAACTTATTTTTTGGATCGTCGATTTTTTCAATGTTTTTTTCAGTTGTGATTTCTTTTGGACGACCCGGACGCTCTTCATCAAAACATCTGTATATAAGTTTTCTGTGCTTTAAGTACTATGGTACTTCATTAGCCTAAACAAAATATTCGTCGTCGAAATATAACTACATTTTCTATTCTACATTCTATATCAATATCTAAACTCGATGCTATGATAATATTATAACAGTTATTATATTTTATTTATTTTGTGATCGATCCATTTTGATGACTATATCTATTTTTGAAGTTATTGAAAACTTATTAAACATAAAAAAAATTTCTTTGTGTATTATTTTTTTCAAATATTTTATTTATTAAATTTATAATAAATAATACCTAACTAAATTCATTCTATTCGATATGTTGGCAGTAAAGGAACATACCCTACGTATTTATTCTCTTAACAACCAGGACCCAATTACAAATAGCATGAAGTGATTAAGTAAATATATGGCACTAACCAATTGCATTTTAAGCAAATCTTTTTCGTTTGTATTTGAAAATAATATATATATAAAAATTTTTATAAATTTTCTGTTCTATATTTTTCCTTAATTTATTATTTCTAGAGCAATTCCAAAGTAAAACTTAAACGCTTTTACGCTCTTATCTATGAACCCTCATATTTTCCGCACTGGCATTCATTTGCACCAGCCGAGCAAACACACTATTTATCAGTAAACTTACACAAAACACACCTTCAACTTTCACTGAAACTTAATACTTTTCGATACTTGTAATCTGGTTGTCTTGGAAAACATAATGGAAATGGTAATGTGAGGGTAATGGTGCTAACTTTTAAGTTTATAGTACACCATATATATACACGTATGTATGTATATTGCAGTACATTGTTTAACTAAAGTTTATCAGTATTAATATGTTGCTGTTGCAATTTATATGCGTAAAATATCAAAAGTGAGCCAATGGTGAAAGCAGTGGAAGAAGCGAAGTGAAGAGAAAGTGGTTGTGGAAAACTTTGCAAACTTTTCCTGTTGCAGTAACAACACAAAAGAGCCACAAATTTGATTTTCTGTCAAAAGATGCATTTACCCTGAAAGCATTTTCACAGGACGAAATATATGAGTGTGTTGATATCATATTTTGTATACTCGTATTATTGCATATGCTGAGTTTTGCCAAAAGCTGTTTACGTATATAAAAAGCATTTTAGGGTTTATTTATTTGTTTATATAGCTTAAGAATGGCAGGTTGGTTGCTAGCAACTAGCAACTAGCAACTGTCTTGAAAAGTAAAAATTAATTTATATGAAAGTTTGAAACTCATAAAAGAGTATTTGAGCTTTAAAGATGTTGTAATGCAATAAAATGCATTACAACTGCACTAGGTATGCATGAGGTACATGATATTAAAAATAAATTCTTCAAGTGTTGGAAAAATAAAACAAATTTTGAACAACTATACAACAATGCTACAGGTTATTTAATTAATAATACTAGTATATAAAACATATTTTAATAATATATAAAATTGCATTACTTTTTTAATAAGTAAAACCTGTGTTAATTTACCTTTATTTCAGTTATAGCTAAGACTAATATCTTCAGATCTTACAGTTAGATTGCCGTGAACGCAATAAAGTTCTTAAGTCTATGGAACGTCTTGAACCTAAAAGAAAATTTGGAGTTAGAATTTCGGATATGTAATGTATTTTTCAAGTCTATGGAGTTTCTTGATCAAAATTGTTATTATTATTATATAAAAAGTTTGTTTTCCTGTCCAAACAATTTTCTTTCTTTGTCAAAATATTTTTTAATATTATTTAAACTAATTAGTTAAAATTTTATTTTTCTTATTTATTTTTAACTTACCTTAGATATTACGTTTCCTCAATTGAATGCAGTTAAAGCAAATTTGGTTGGAGGTACTAAACGCAGCCTTTCTCACTTTCATTATTTTTCGGTTGTTAATTAATTATGGCAGCAATAGTGTTGACACAAACAAAAAAAATTTCTTTAAAACCTCACAGAGAAAGTTCGAGTAGAGTTCCGTGGACGTAATGGCTCTTATAAGTGTTTGAAATGTCTCAATATCGGAAATGTAGTATTAAAACCTTTAGAGCTTTTTGGACAAAATCCTAATTAATTAAAAATAATTATTTAAAAACTTGTTTTTCATATGTAAACAAAAAAATAGTATTGTCACAATTAAGAAAAGCTCCAGAACCTTACACAAGAAGTACAGACAGAGTCCCGTAAACGTAATGAACTTTTTAAGTCTCTGAAATACTTTGAAATGCTTTGCTATCTCTATCCTCGGAATGTGTTGTATTTTTGAGGTCTTTGCACTTCTTCACCTTCCTGAGAATTCTTCTTCTTGTTATTAAGAATAATTATTTGAAAATTTGTTTTTCATATATAAACAAGAAAATAGTATTGTCACAATTAAGAAAATCTCCAGAACCTTACACAAGAAGTACAGATAGAGTCCCGTGAACGTAATGAACTTTTTAAGTCTCTGAAATATTTTGAAATGGTTTGCTAGAGATAGCCTCGGAATGTGTTGTATTTTTGAGGTCTTTGCACTTCTTCACCTTCCTGAGAATTCTTCTTCTTGTTATTAAGAATAATTATTTAAGAATTTGTTTTTCATATATAAACAAAAGTTAAATAACCAGCATAACCGTTTTTATTTTTGAGTGTGTAAAAAACTTATTAACTTACCTTATCTTTTATTTCTTTCCAATTAATTATAAATGAAATAAACGTATTATGTATTTGTTTTACTAAGCAAAACTTTTCTTAATTTACAAATTATGGACGAGAGTAGTGTTGTAGCAAACAATATATAGAACCCAGTAGAAAACGTTTATGTAGAGTTGCAGAAATTTTACAAATTTCTTAATTTCTTCGATTGTTTTGGAACCTTCTAGGAAACGTATAGGTCTTGAGAAAATTATTTGACAACGTATTAAAATTTCTTGAACAATATGGTTATAAATTTTGATAAAAATTTTGAAAGTATATTCTACCGACTTAAACACCTATTAACTGGTGATAATTGACTGTAAATTGACTGTAATAATTTTATTATTGACTATAAAGAATAAGCACATATTTATTCACTAACCTTTTATTTTTTTCCGATTAAGTATGACTAAGAGAAAAATATGGCTGCACTAGTTATAGTGCAGTTAAGAATAATATCTCCGAACCTTGAAAAAAACGTTAAGAAATAGAGTTTCCGGAATGTATTATAAGAAATATTTACAAGTCTTCAGAACTGTTTCACCTTAAATGAAAGGTTTAAAATGAAATTTATGAAATGTGATGAGTTTTAACTTTATATTTTAAAATCTTTTATATTTGTTTTATTTAAAATTAAATAATTAAATATAACAAAGGTATGTGTAAAATAATTTTATTGAAAAAAAAATGGCTTACCGTAATGTAGATAATTTTTTTTATTTCTTGTTCTGTTCAGAAAAAAAAAATTCAAAAAATAAGTTTCTTCAAAATATTTTACAAAATTTATCCTAGCTTACTAAAATATGCGATTTTTTATAATAATATAAAAATGTATTTATTTTATTAGAGTGATTGCGCTTACAGTGTAGCGGTTTTCCAATTTTTACAATGAAGTATTAATGCTGAAGAATAACAACGTTGATACTTAAGTACAGTTGATACATCAGTTATCGAAGTTTGGAAGACATATGTACGATAGTCTGAATTGAAATAAAAGTTGTGCCTTTGGCTTTTACATATTGAGGCTAAGGCATAGGGATTGCATGTCGTACAGGTTGAGACGTACATAAAATCTACAAACTTCTAAAAACTAAATAATTAAAATACTAATTTGAATGTATTTAATATATATATTTTTATAATTATTGAAACTAATTTAATAATTTCAACTTCATATTCGATTTATTGTTACTAATACATAATTTATACAAATACTTATCCAACCTCTTTACTATATTTATATATGGATTTAGTTTGAAAAATGGTACATATCACTACATATATGATATACAAAGATAAGTACAATTATTTAAACAGCAAAAAATATAAATGTTTATTACAATATCAATGTTGAATTTATCATATATTATTTATCGTATCAAAAAATTTCCTAATATATTTAAAATGTTATTAATTATCATAATTTATTTTATATTTATGCCATACAGACGAAGCAAATTGTGTAGAGATTTTCAAAGGATACCAGGGAATCCAATACGCTTCGAATTTCCTGATATCCATATATAAATAAATCGAATACATACATAAAAATATTGCCGTTATAATGTACGTCCTTGGTAACATAGCTACAACTTAAAGTATAGATTTTAATCCTAAGTGAGAGAGATGAAGTTAAAAATTTCTGAATATTTTCAATTTCTAAACTACTTTGAAGCCATGTTATATGGAACAACGAACCATCAACGAGTGTGAACGTTTGAAAATTTCAATACTCGAAATACATTAACTATAGGTTTTTATATATAGTTGTAGAAACTTCATGGCAAAATGTAAACCATCAAATTAAGTTCATAATACATATATTCACAGAAATTTAAAAGTGTACCATATTATTACAATCTAGTACCATCCTACGCCAAAATTAGATTAAAGGACGAGTCATATAAATATTGACAGAAAATTCGAGAAGAAAGAGGAATAGTGGTCATAATAGAAAGTTTTATGACTAATTATTAGATTGCCGATCGTGAATAGAAAGAAAATAGAGCATCACATCATACATTGTGACCGAAAAGTTTTCGGAAATTCTCATTTAAAATTCGCGCGCTGTATATTTTTCGATATTTTAAGTTTATGTAGTTTGGCAGCACTGTCCTTAATTACTATGCCAAAAATGAGCGCGATCTGTCAGACAGTTCGTTTACGGCAGCTGTTGAAACCAGTTCACCTCAGTAGTGCGTTGCGAAAAAAAACAATGGAAAAAAATATTGAACAAAGAGTTTGCATCAAATTTTGTTTTTCGAACGAAATTTCGTGTGCAGAATCGTTGCGAATGCTACAAAAGGCTTATGGGGAATCAGTTTTATCGAAAACTCAAGTTTATGAGTGGTACAAAGCCTTTCAGGACTGTCGTACGACCGTCGAAGACATGCCGCGTTCTGGACGACCTTCGACCTCTACCACCGACGAAAACATTGAAAAGGCAAAGGAAATCGTGTTCAAAAATCCTCATGTGAGTGTTAGAGAGATAGCACGAGAGCTAGGCATCGGTCGTGAGATGGCTCGTTTGATTTTGGTGGACAATTTGTGTATGCGACGTGTCAACGCCCGGCTTGTTCCGATTCACCTCAATTTGTTCAACATTATCAACGATTTTAAGGCCAAACATTCAATAAATACCATCGAACAGCCACCGTATTCACCTGATCTTGCACCGTGTGACTTTTTCCTGTTTCCCAACCTCAAATTACCACTCAGAGGAACGCGTTTTGAATCCATAGAAGACGTAAAACAGAATTCGCAGAGGGAACTCAAAGCCATACCGGAAAGCGCCTATAAAAAAATGTTTTTGATGATTGGGAAGAAACGTTGGGATTTGTGTATCCGCTTCTTAATGGAGCATATTTTGAAGGAGATAAAATAAATATTGATGAAGATTAAGAATTTTGCGTTTTATTTAAAACGCAAAGGAAACTTTTCGGTCACAATGTATAGCATTTCATTATATTCCATCCCTTGGTTCGACATGTTGCTACGCTTTATCACAAATCTCCAAATTATATAGAATGCGATAAGAGTGTCAGATTGTCTGAGTGTGTAGAGACCATAATTCGTACAGACACCTTATAAAATCGTGTTAGAAAGATTTATAAGAATCATTTAATGCGAATAGCAATGCTAAATGAAAAATTTAAGAATGAGAGTTGTAAAAACAATAAAAACTTTTACACACTAAGTATACCGACTCTGGATCTGCACAATTGACATTACTCATTACCAAGTCACACCAGTAATAGGAGTTAATAATAAAATAAAAATGTTTTTCTGAATTTTGATATAATAAATAACGTTTTAGGAATAGTTAATCTATTGAATAAAACTAATGTACAAATAAATACTTGTCAAATACTGATCAGTTTCAAATACTTAACATTTGTTGAAATAGCAAGAACCACTTAAATAACTACTTAGGAAATATAAAATTAGTCCTTTTCTTTTATAAGCATGTCACAAAAGAACAAATAAAATAAGCAGTATTTTCAATAGCAACTTTGGACAAAAGTTGCTATTGTTCTACTTATATATACAAAAAACGTAATTAAATTTAAAGTTAAATTTTTAAGCTTTCTCACAGTAAAACAATAAATAACATATTTGTTGCGAACAATGACGACACAAAATACGAAGAATTAAAGAATTCATTCGTTGCCATTTCACTGGAAATTTCGTATGTACTTCCAAGAATCGTTCACAATAGACGAATTTTTAGTCTTGGCAACCATGCGATTTGAGCTGCTTCTAAGAATCGTTCATTATAGACGAATTTTTAATCTTGGCAACCATGCGATTTGAGCTGCTTCTAAGAATCGTTCACAATAGACGAATTTTTAGTCTTGGCAACCATGCGATTTGAGCTGCTTCTAAGAATCGTTCACAATAGACGAATTTTTACTGCTTCCAAGAATCGTTCACAATAGACGCATTTTTTAGTCTTGGCAACCATGCGATTTAAGCTGCTTATTAGTTAAGCAATTTCAAAAACGTTGGTCTAAATAAACCAGCTTTGTTGTTGTCTGATATGTTATTTTTATAATCAGCAGTTGTTCTTTTGTGATATGTTTACAAAAGAAAAGGCCTTTTATTGAATAAAATAAAATTTGTGATGATTTTATTTTCAATATGTAATATTTTTCCATAATCTTAAACTATCTGTACTCGCTCATACATAATTTATTTCAGTAAAGACTTACAAAGATTTATGTGTGCTGATTTATATTGTACCATATATTTCTGATGCTAGAAGCATTTATTGTCATTGATAACAGAAAATGTATGTGCTCATGAATTATGAAATCTTATTTCCGTGTAATACACAAAAACAAATCACAACGAAATTTGGCACAACACAGTTTGAAGCAACAAACGTTGATGATAACATAAATTCGGCAACTTTTTAAACCCAGAAAATTAAATTTCCGTTTTAATTTCTGTAATATCAAATCTTTCGGCACAGTTCAGTGCAGTTGACCAAATCGGAACACAAAGAAATAAGCGCATTCACATTGTGTGCGAGCGCAGAGCTTGTATCCACGAAGCTGAAATTGAAAATTTCATAAAAATGAAATCGCTAAGTGCAACGGCTTGGAAAAATGTATTTTTACGATTGCCAACACTGCAACCGTTCGCATGCGAGCATGTTCTCCCTTAACTTGGCACAATACATTTTAATAAAAATTTTTGTTTTGCAATTTGAAGCTATGAAAAAATAAAGCCAGCAAAATTAAAGAAACGAGGTCATACAAAACTGGCGGAATCCTGCACATATCCTTTATATTGCCGCCTAAGGGGAAAACCCTGCTTAACATAGATTTTTGACTTGATTTAATTTGCGAAACGTTGCACTCGCGAACGTTTTGTGGAACGAAAACATATAAAATTTCTTCCAAAATTGTTGTATACAAAAATCGAATAAAACATAAATTGCATTCGTTTATTTTAGATTAAAGTTAAGAAATATGAATTTCGGCGGATTTAGATTGAGTAAGAATAATGTTAGGCATTAGTAAAAACATTTCTTCAAAACAAAAAAAATAGTTTTCTTAGATTGCTTCGTACCATGGAAGTTTCGCTATTTACTACGAATTAGAAACAGTTTTTTACTATTTGTGGTTAATTTTCTTATTATTTTTTGTGTGACATTAATGGAATTAATTTTCTTCTTTTTTAGAAGAAAATGCTACAGAAACAGAAAAAAAAAGACTAGACGTTTGATGAATCAAACGCAATTTATCAATTTGGTTTGACAACCCTAGGGGACAGATTTAAATCCCACTTTCAACACAAATTTATCAACTTAACCATATCCCTAAGGAGAGAAGAGGCAATGCAAAAAGGATATAAAAACACAAGAAAACGACTATGTTTAGAAGTTTTAACAGTTGAAATAACAACTTAATCAAAAGAAAGCAGGGTTGACCCTTGTGAAAACACCGCAGGAAAAAAAAGGACGATATGAGAAATAAATAAAAGCTTTTTTCGAAATAAAAACAAAAATATTTGACTTTTATAGTTGCCAGAGGATGTTTATATTAAACTCACAAGTCAACACATTATTTTATATATATTTATGCATCTGAATATAATTATTTAGTGTTTAAAGAAAAATAAATAACAAAAAAAAATTTTAATTCAGCAAAATAATCTCGACCGTCATTTAGATAGTGTCAATAAAGTTGATCTAGTTGACAACATTATTAAATCTTATCACCGTATAGTACAAATTTGGCACAGTATATTGAATATAATCAAAGAATGTAACTTCTTCTATGCGTACGAGTAGTGGCAGTTTTTTTGTCCTAGATTTGAGATCTTCACAGGTACGGCATAAAAGAGTGATATCAGCATGCGACTTTGTCTACACTACTGAGAAAAGACAAAATATAATATGCAACATCCATAATAACATTCTCGTTGAAATCGGCTCATCATATTCCACCTTACCGACAACTTTCCGAGAAACTTTCATAAACTCAAACAATGCTTTTAAGTACTGTGAAAAAAATAAAATGATGATCTGAGTTTCTTACGAAAATTTTTTTTAAACAATAACTGTACTTTATATCGAAGTCTGATTCAAGTGATTTAAAGTTAACTTCTCCGATGTTAGATTTAAATATAATTTTTCCTACTTAATTGATCATAGGAACCTGTTGTAGGATTTCGGGTTCATACATCCCTCTTTTTCAGAAGCCTCTGCCATCTGCAGATGTTTTCCAGTTTCGTACATTAAGCGCGGTTAGTATTTCCAATCTGATCACTTTACAGGAGACACGCCTCACCTTCGTCTTCTTGCTTAAACACCTTTTTTACTGGAGCATCGTTATCATTCTCAGAAAGTAATCCCAACCATTAAGGCAACTGGATGTTAATTCTGTGAACAATGTCAACGTCAAGTTTAATTTTATTCAGCTTGTGGTACATTCTGATGCGGTGATATCGCTAGCTCGTAGAAGTCTATTAGAATAGTATTAGAATACACCAAGTGTTATTTTATTATTCTGTGATATTGTCCATACCTTCATGCCATACAGAAATACGGCAACTGTACTTCTCAATTCTATATTGACGCCATAGTAGCAACTACTGATAATGAGTTCAAGGTTTGATCGTTACTACAATACCAAAATAGATAAAATTGTTCATAGCTTCAAACATATAGTTAACAGTTCGATATCTGAGTGACGCATATATCAAAATTTCACAACCGAAAACATTTGGAAAATATTATGCTATTACGACGAACACTTGTTCTGTGCACGATTATAAACATAACGAAATGGTAGAGATCACAGGATAAGGTATCATCTCGTTATCACTGCTTAGTGCCTTTGTTGTCTCTGTGTATTGGTCCGTGTCAATGTTTAAAGTAGGAATATACATTTAGTATACTTGAAGTGGGTATTCCATTAAACACGAAATGATCTATCTGGTTTCATATTGATTAATCCGAAGAACAACACTTTAGTCTTATAAATGTTTGCCTACGGAAATTCTAAACTGCATACTACCATAGTTTGCGCCAAAGCAACATCAATAAACCTCCGACCATTTTTGGAAGTAGAGCCATGGAAGTTAAATTTTAAATGAATTATTAAAATGATTTAAATTATTAAACCAAAAATTACTTTAATTCTAGCTTTCGTTGGAGCAGCACTATAGATTACTCCCAATCTCGTGTAGAAGGTATATTTGCTCACATTATCGTTTTTGTGTGATAGTACCGAATGTTCTTTTGAAGCGGATATTACGAAGACTTCTGTTTAATGATGTAAACCGCTGGACTAAGTTTAAAACTCTCTTGCGAACTGGAAAAGCATTAATAAATTTATATCATAAATTTAACATACATGACTTCATGGCAGTCATAGTAGATATGACGATTTGCTCTTTAACTACAGCCCCGTTTTGTTCACCACATATCCTAACGTCATTCTTACATTTATTGACAGTTTCCGCCAATTGGAAAGAAGCATCTTTATTGTAAAAAACTTGAGAGCTTCTAGATGCATATCCATAAATTATATTTATTTCATTTGCAGTGAACGTCAATATTTGGATCTATTCCCATACTGCTTTATGTTTTGCATTGACACCTGATTTTATGTGACGGTTGGCTGGGATAAAGCCCAATGTAGCACTCTTAGTTTATTACCTACCGACTTTTAGTAAATAATGGCTTGCACAAAAAACATTGGGTTTCACTAACATAAACCTTTCACTAACATTTTTACTGAAACTATTTACTGGATTCCTGGTACTTACAGTCTCGAAAATAATTATTTACGAATAATTAAATACAAGAATTATTTCCAAGACCACTGATGATGGGTATTTGGCAATACTCGAAACAGCTGTATGGGCAGCCAAAAATTCAATTAATTAAAATAATATAAAAAATAAAATTTTTGTTGTTGTGTTTCACTACTGTTCGAAAAAACCTCTCTATAACTATTTACTATATTATTTTTGAGTCGGAACTGTCTACAAACAGACATTTATACTGTTAAGACTATTATATGCAAAAAATAAATATTTATTTATATAAGTTTAATATATGGTGTATCATATTTACTTTTATCTTTAGCATCTTAGGGTTAACTTTGTATCGTATCTCTTTAACCCTTTAGGAGTAGCTATTTTATTAAAAAGTAGATGACCATTGGCAAAAAAAAAGATTGGAATAGTAATTACCGTTTTCTGCTATAAGTTTTTGCAATGGTTGTGAAGTTTCAAATTGTGGAACTAAAAAAAATCTCTATAAATTATTAAAGCAAAATTATACCATCTAACTTAAGCATAAGGATTCTTACTCACTCGTGGATAATATAACTTTTGAAGCATAACTTTTTTTCCGTGTGAAAAATATTTTTTTAAATAGCAATAAAAAAGCGAAACTATTGTTTAAGTTTTTTTTTGCCTAACCAGATGCAGATCTAAATTTTTCTAATTATAAAAATAAAAACAATTTAGTTAAAAAAAATGGTTTTTAGTAAAAAAAGAAAATAAAACATTAAGACAGAACTTTAATTAAATGTTCACCATGAAAAGATTTTCCATCCAAATCCTTAGAAAATTTATTCTCTAATCTTCTTAACTCCATTTTAAATTTGGTTTTATTTTTCTTTCCCGTTTTTCTTTCCTACTTGAAGACGAAAAAAAATGGTAGAAAAAAAATTATTTTAATTTGTTTACGGCTGAGCTTTAAAAAATGGCGGACAATTAAATGGAATAACATAGAGAAAGATAAATATTTCAAGCACTTAACGTAGCGCTGAAGGATTAGAAAAATATTTATTTGAAATTATATTGAAGACGTATGTTTCTACAACTACGTTATTTGAATAGACTTTAGAAATTATTTTAAAATTTCAGAATTACCTGCTTGTATTTTTGACTATGATGCTTGATGCTTCACAACACACTCTTATATAGTATATATCTGTCACCATCCATTAATTGATTAACTTGTGAATGTTGTTTATTTATTTATTAGTTTTGTCAGTTTATTTTAAAAAATGTAATAACAAATATTTTTTGTAAAGATTAATGTAGACAAAATACATTTGCAATTTATTGAAATCAATTGTTTTGAATTTTAATTGTAATTATTTGAATTTAATTTAGTGAAGGATCCTGCTTTCCATTTTGAGCTGATTTAGGGCTAAGGAAATGTTCTCGATACCAGCAAACAAATTCGTCAATAAGAGTTGGCCAGGCGTCATCCATACTGTAATTATCCAAAGTAGGATGAATTTCTTTAACAAAATCTAACACACATTTCCAAGTATCTAGATTAATGCACTTGACATCACGTTCCTTTATATATTGACACCAGCCATTCAACAATTGAAACTCCTTCTTTAGAATTATATGCCAATATACAATAGCGCTATTTATGTCCAAGTATTTGGAATCCTCCTCTTTTGCGTACTTAAATGCAAAAATATAGAAATCCTTGAACTTGTCGGTGTTAAAAATATCGCGAGTAACAATACCGAGTTTGTTTCTGAGCGCCACTATATTTTCGACTTCTAGACGTGCCATACCATTAACGAATTCCTGTTTTGTAAAACAGCATTGTGTACGTGCACGACACATCCAAGCCAATACCAGAACTTCCATTGAATCTGCTCTAAGCTTTAGGTCATCCAACAAACGCAGGACATTATCATCAGTAATAACAGCACCAGGTCCACTATCCTTGTAAGCCACGTACATCTTATTTATATTGGCTTGCATTACCTTGCTGACGTACTTATTAGGATTTTCGTGCCAGTCCACAACGGCTGCCTTAATATTCCAATCATTATGTCGCAAGCAATCATTGGCGATTGCTGCAGTGGTTTTGGTTTGTGAAATAAACATCTTCACTAAAGACTCATCGCGATGTGGATTGTTTTGTAAACGGTACATTTTTATAAAATTTTCTTAATTTTTTCCGACAAAAGAGACCGAAACAGAATTCTATTCAATAATATGTAAAACTAGAATTTCAATTTGTAGGTTAAAAGTTTTTAATCAACGTTGTTACTTTGTTTAAGAATATGAACTGTCATGACCAGTGTTTCAACTTCAAGTATTTCAACGTTAAATGATTAGTGAATATTGGAACAAATTAAAAATAAAAATTTATTCAGAAAATTTTTTTAATATATGTCTCCTATCTTTAATTCCTAAATTAAATAAAGAGGTTTTTTCGAACAGTAGTGAAATACAACAACAAAAATTTTTATTTTTTTATAATATTTAAATTAATTGAATTTTTGGCTGACCATACAGCTGTTAAATAATAAATAAATTTATATAAGTTTTTCTTTTTCTTTTATTATTCTATATTTTTCTTTTTGTGGCTCAGGACTAAAAACCTTGTGATTGATGGGATATCTGACAAGAAAAGCAATTGCTGAGAGATTTAACCTTGCACGAATATTTAGATAAAGCGTAGATCAACAAAATATATCTGCCTAATATTGCGGAGATGGACAGGGATTGTCCAAAGTAAGATATGCTCTTATCTTGCACATCTTTGTATTTATTTGGTGTAGATTTTGTATGGAAAATATGAATAACAGCGTTATTTCAGAAATATTTGCAATAACACTAACCTTGTGGCAGCATAATATATAAAACGTAAGAACTCGTTTGAATAAGGGGTCTTAAAGGGCGCAGACGTTATATCCGGGTTCAGTTTTATCAAAGTGTTTCAACGTTAACCACGGACATATATTCGTAATTTATTTGTGAATTGTGTTTTGTACTTAATTGTGTTTAATAAAATAATGAATTTAACAACACTAAAGGCTTAACAGTAATTATCTTAAAATGAAGTCGTTTTTTATAAAAGATAGTATGAGCTAGATTTCACACTATAAAAATTGTTTTTATTCACCATACCGTGGTAAATAATAATAATGGTTAATATATTATGTAAACAGATGATTGTTATAGCGAACATCATCAAGCGAGCAATACCAATATTATATTTTATTATAAAGTATTTACAACAAAACATTTCGAAATGGAAAATAAAATTAAATGTAAATACTTTCATAAATAATTATAGAGAGATTTCGAACAATAATGAATTGTAATAACAAAAATTATTATTTATTTTTAATTAATTGAATTTTTGATTGATCATCGAGGTGTTTCGGGAATTGTCAAATACTTATCATATAATACTCATCAGTAGTTCCTATTGTAGTTAATAGGTGCTGAGCATGTCCTGGACAGTAAATAATCACATGTAAAGCACTTACATCATCCTTCCCAAAACTGTGAGAGAAATTATTGAATAGGAGATTTAATCTTCCAGAAAGGTGCGTACAACGAGTCCTATTTCCAAGACTTTAAATTTGAGTTGTGCACAGGGTTTGGCACCTGTCACGTAAAAACAGCCGCAAAAATGTCTCGGAACTGGAAACCGATTAACGTTGATCAGCAATGCAAATAGAACAATGATTTAAGGATATGCACCTGAAATGTCCGGAACCTCAATAGGTGCCTCTATTAACCTTGCGGAAGCCCTCAATAAATGTAAAGTTGACATCACCGCCATCCAGGACAGATAAAGGTTGCTTTAAAAAAACAAACTATAATATCTACTTCACCTGCAATTCTAATAGGAGTAAATTTGGATGCGGTTTTGTGGTTAGCAAGAGACTCAAAACAGTCAGCGCTTCACAACGGTGAACAAACGGCATGCTAAAATCCGTATCAAGCGATACGGTATCAGTATCATTTTAATTTGCGAATATGCGCCGGGAGAAGAAAAGGATAACTTGACCAAAGATATTTTATATGCGGAACTCAAAGAAATTTATGATTACAGTCTCGCCAATGACATCAAATTTGTTCTCAGACAAGAAGTTCTTGGTCCAACTATCGGAAAATTCAAGATCCATGTATTAAACTCCAGCAACGGTCTGAGGCTAATTGATTTCGTTAAGGCTCGAAACATGGTAGTATGTAGCACTAGATTCCCAAACCGCTATATTCATAAGGCAACGTGACTATCACCCGATCAATCAACACGAAACAAGTTTGATCACTTCGTAATTGACCCTGCAACCACGCGAACCATGCGTGAATAATATCGGGAGAAGAGAAAAAAAAAGAAGCGCACATTCAGACGGAAAAAACGGGATCAAAAAGGCGCGAGCGAAAGGAAATCGATGTGTATATAAACAAGAAATATGCAGACGTATTTGGAGACCCAGTAATGTGTTGTGTATGATCAAATAAGTAAGTAAGTACAATAAGTAAGAACGCGGCTTACTTGCTTGCAAATACCTCCATTTCGTTGCCTTCCTATTTTGTATTAAATTGCTCAATACAGAAAGACTTCAACAACTCTTTTTCATGATATTAGCGATCTGCCCAGATCCCGCAGATATTTCGAATGATTATTTGAGACATTTTAACAGGGAACCCACAGTAAAGATATGTTCAACTCCGTTGTCATCTTATTTACAGATGCGTAGGAATTAAAAACCGTTCTGGATGTCAATTGGACTGAACTCAAGAATTTCAAAGCAGCTTGACTATTTGTAAGTATGTATATTCTTATTCAATATATTATTCACTTTAAGATAAGTTATAGCGCTTATTTTTACTTGAAAAGGACCAAGAAACCTGCAATATAAAGATTTATTTAGTTCCACCGAGACAACTCTGCTTCTTAACCACTATCTACTTTTTAGCTGTCAGTATATATTGTTCCGATAAAAAAGTTTAGATGAAAAATACACTTAAAATTTCTTGCGGAAATTGAGAATGGAAGAGATGTAGTCAATATGTTGCAGAATTGGACTGAAGAGATTAAGAATGGTACTATCATCGTAATTACTAATCTTCTACTGTGAATTATTTATCAGTTTAAGATTTGATGATACCGCGATTTGTTTGCTTTCAAGATCAAGCGATATTAAGTGAAGCATTAGGTTTAACACAAAATATGGAGTGGAACTCAATGCACTACTAGAACAGAATTAAGCTACACACTGCACTCTGTTGAGTACGAAGATTTGTCCTAGGCTGTTCAGCATACTGTGACGCTCTCTTCAAAAAGTATCGAAAGCTTTTTCGATATCCAAGCAAACAGAACCCGTTACGCTTTGGAAGGGAAAGGAAGGATCTGTTTGATTTTTTTACGATTTAGTCTTAGGTATAAAAGAATAATAGTATTCTATTTTTTTATGAGTATTTCATAACTTTTACGAAAATTATATGGACCAAAGCTTTGATATCTAGGATTTTATTTTCTAGATTTCTTTTTATTCTGTGTCTATGAAACCACGTTCCAGTTCAAAACTTGACTGGTACTACTTCATTTGAAGTTTGGTAGAGCACCTCGCTATTGCTCTAATAAATTCTCTTTGTAGTTTCTGACATTTTTTAAGTAAAGTGCCTTTAAATTTTTTTTTGTTGTTCTTTTATATTATTTCATTAGTTCACCTTTTTACTTTTTTTATCAAATTTAATATTTGCTGGTTTTAAGGATTTGTAGTCTTTTTAACACCGAATTGTTCTTTCTCTGTCTAGGCTAAATTACACAAAAGGACCTTAACGCATACTCATGTAAGTTCATGGATGTTTGTTATCAAGTGGGAAATGGTGAACTCACAAGCGTTGTTGTTGTGTGCGTGTAAGTGTTTGTGGATTCCGGTTGTGGTTGAATCATTACTTACATGTATGTGTGGTTGAAGCTGCCTTTCAAGCTAAGTCGAAATAGGTAACTACGTAGATACAACCAGGATATAAAAATGAAAATAGGGATATCTCTCCTTTTACATGTCATGGCGCTTATGAAAGCAACTGAATTAAACATAATTCGATTATAAATGGAATTGTAGATGTTCGCAGTGCAAGTCTTTTTGATTTGGCAAAATAAAACTTGATTCAGCAATTTTTTCTTTGACTTTACTTTAAAAAGAAAAATCATTTTCAAAAGATAAAATAACAATAAAAATGTTTCTAATGAAAAGAATTATGAAATTTCTTTCTCAAATTTTAAATTCAAATATTAGCTGTTAAAAAAATGAGAAATGTTAAAGGTACAATTCAATATGAAGTGATAATGGAGGCAGAGAGCAGAAAATAATGCGAAATTTTATTGAATTAAAAAAATATAATGCGATTGCGATTTTATTTGCAGGTGAATTTTAAACTTTTTTAAAGACAAAATTTTTGTCAAGCATAATCATTTAAATTTACATTTCTTCAAGTCAATATATATCAATCCATTGAAGAGTGATGCAAAAAACGATTAATATTATTACAGGTATTAATAAATATCACTTTGCATAGCAATGATAAACGTGAGTTATGTAATAACAGCGACTCTATGCTCCTCCTTGGATTTAAAGGATTATTTATATAGGTATGTAATAACAGAAAATTATTGAAAGCATGACATTGATGTGTAGTACAAGAGATACGTCTCCGACAGTACTTCGCTCACCCAGTAAAAATAAAAAAAATATCCAACATTCTAACGTCGGAACAAAAAAATACAAAATAATACATAAGCTAGTCTTACTGAAGTTATAATTTAAATAGTCAAAATAATTAAAACAGATTAATACAGAATTATTTTTAAATACTTTAGTCAGTTGACTTATGAACGCCGACTCAGAGCTTTAAATTTGGCAGGGCACGAGTTCAACCCTTACTACTTGCAGTCTCAAAAAAAAATTATTTACGAATAATTTAATACAAGAAATAATTCCAAAACTCAAAGCAGCTGCATGGTCAGGTAAAAATTCAGATAATTAAAATAATATAAAAAGAATTTGTTGTTGTAGTTCACTACTTTACGAAATCTCTTTACTAAATTCTTTAATAAAAAAAATTCTTTATAACTCCAGCAGTAAACTTTATGTGTCTTTCATAGTTAACAAACTCATTGGAAGTAAAAACAATCCTGCTGCGAAGCCTGACCTCAAGTAGTAGAAGTGATGGTAGTGGTAGAAGTGCATGTGTGGACTGTAAGACAGATAGTAATAATAGGTGTAGTAATACAAATTATTAACTATGAATTTAAAGATAATCTTAAGCGAGTCCTTTAATCTGCCGTTAAACTGAATGGACTGTTTAGTACCAGTTGTTGTTGTCGTATTATCTCTTCCGATATTCTGCATTAAAACTTCCCCCTGAGCTTCATTTAGATGATTCTTATAGGCTTCTCTTAATTTCTATTTTAATGAATTGGATCGATCTCCCTTTACGATTGTGTTGTTTAATCGCGAATATAGCAAGCCATTTCGTAGAATGTAATTTTAAATAGTCAGATTCCTTACTAAACATCCATCACTGCTTGTAATTAAAGTTATTAACATTCTTAATCTTAGTTTAGGTAAATATATAAATGTAAATACTCTGCTCTTTATCAATCTATTTCTATTGATTACTGATTCATGATTCTATTCATGATTTGC